AGCAGCAGCAAAGACAGCTGAAGCCCCTAGAGAGACCCTTCTTCAGGGAGGTGCTGCCGCTGCTGTCGCAGCAGCTTGTTGCTGCTGCTCGTGCTGCAGGCATTGCTGTGCCGCTGGCGCATGCAGCCTATTTGCTGCTGACTCTCCCACCAGCAGCAGCAGCAGCAGGAACAGCAACAGCAGCAGCAGCAGGAGGAGAGAACGGGTTTGAGTTGTTTCGTTTTTCTTCTGCTGCAGCAAGAGCTCCTTCGCAGCAGGAAGCAGAAGCAGCAGTTGCTGCTGCTGTCTTGCTGCTGAAGGGGCAGCGCAGCAATGCTGCTGCTGCTGCTCTCGCGCTGCAGGTTAGCTTCGAGGCGCTGCTGCTAGACCTGGTTGCTGCTGCTGCGCTGCAGCAAACAAAACAAACCAAAAGAGTCGAGCGTGCTGCTGCCTTGGTACGACTGGGCCCCTGCTGCTGCTGCTGCTGCTGCTGTTGCTGCTGCTGCTGTTGTTACTGTTGCCACCAGCTACTGCTGTTGCTGCTGCTGCTGCTGTTGATACTTTTGGGCCGACCGTAGTGTTACCTTATAATGCAGTTACTGCTGCTGCTGCTCCTGCTGCTGCTGCTGCTGCTGCTGCTGCTGCAGGTGCTGCATGCAGACCACGGTAAGCTGAGGCGACCGGAGTTTGTGTGTCTGCTGCGGCGTAAGCTGTTGTCTTACTGTATTCTATCTCTGCCGATGGTTGCTGCTGTTGCTGTTACTGAAGACGCAGCAGCAGCAGCAGCAGCACGTGCCCCGCTGGACACTGCAGCAGCAGCAGCAGCTGCAGCAGCAGCAGCAGCAGCAGACGTGCAGCAGCTAGTAGAACAAGCTCTCGACTCTGTTCTCCCCATCACCCGTCTCCCCTGCATCTATGCTCTGCCGCTGCAGCTGCGGCAGCAGCACCTGAAGGAGCTGCGCTGCATCGTTCTTGCTGCTTTGCTGCTGCAGCAACGCCGAGCAGCAGCAGCAGCAGCAGCAGCAGCAGCAGCGGCAGCAGCAGCAGCAGAAAAGGCCCAGGGGGCCACAGCAACAAAAACAATAACACCAGAAACTGCTGCAACAGCAACAGCTGCTGCAGCAGCAACTGCTGCAGCAACAACTGCTGCAGCAGCAACAGCAGCGCCAAGGTCAACAGCAGCAAGATCCGCAGCAGCAGCGAGAGCAGAAGCAGCAGCAAAGGCAGCAGCAGCAGCAGCAGCAGCAGCAAAGAAGTTTGATTGGCTTGTACCACCCCAGAAGCTTGCTGCTGCTGTTGCTGCTGAGCAGCAGCAGCTGCTGCTGCAGCAGGCTGTTGCGGGGCAGGACGCGCTGCAGCGAATCCGTAACATATTCAGCATCAGCAAGCAGCAGAGAGAATCCATCGGTAAACCCTAAACCCTAAACCCTAAACCCTAAACCCTAATGTGGGGTGTAACTGGGGTTGATGCAGCAGCAGCTGAGAGCCTTTATATAGCTGCTGCTGCTGCTGTTGCTGTAGTTGCAGCTGCAGCAGCAAATTGCTGCTGATTCCTCTAATGTTGCCGTTGCTGCTGCTGCTGCTGCTGCTGCTGCTGCTTTTCTACTACTGCTGTTGCTGTTACTCCTGCTGCTGCTGCTGCTGTTGTTGCTGCTGCTGCTGCTGCTGCAGGAGTTGATGAGAATCTTGCTGCTGCTATCGCAGCAGAGAGTGTCTTTCAGGTGCAGCAGATTCGCTTTGTGCAGGCGCTGCTGGTGCAGCAGCAGCAGCGGCACGAAGCAGCAGCAGCAGCAGCAGACGCATGCATTGAGGAGCTTGCTGCTGTAGAGAGCTGCCTGCAGCAGCACAAGGGGGAGGCCCCCCCAGATGAGGTGTATAGGCACCTGGCTGCTGCTGGTGCTGCATACCTTGGGGTGTATAGGGAGCAGCAGGCGCTGCTGCAGCTTGCTGCTCTGCGTCTGCTGCTGCAGCAGCATGCAGCAGCACTCAGCTCACCAGACACCACAAAGCTCGATGCTGCTGCTNGCGTCTGCTGCTGCAGCAGCATGCAGCAGCACTCAGCTCACCAGACACCACAAAGCTCGATGCTGCTGCTCTCCGGCTGCGGAGGAGAACCAAGCCGCAGCCGCAAGACGAGCCTCTCCGCAGCAGCAGCAGCAGCAGCAGCAGCAGCAGCAGCGGGATACGTATACTCACTGCAGCAGAACTCGATCAGCAGCAGCCAGCTGAACTTGGGGGCTATTGCTTACAGACGCTGCTGCAGTACGGGGCACTTGTATCAGGAGACACGCATGCAGGTGCTGCTGCTGCTGCTGCTGC